TCGGCAAGAAATAAGGACAAGCGAAAAATATCCAAAACTCAGATGATAATTACTAAATGGAATATCAGATTGCTCAAGTCAAGAAAGCAAGAAATAACCCAAACGCTAAGAAATAAATAAATAAACATTTGCATTTTATAGGAAAGAAAAAAAAACGGAAGTAATCAAAATTAGTTAAATACATATTCTACAGTGGAGTAGCAAAAGAAAACAGGGCCACAGAAGGTGTAGCAGTATTAATACACCAAAGGTACCAAACTTACATCGAGGAGTGTCAATACATATCAGAAACGATTGTAACAGCACAGATAAAATTGGAGAACGAAGACCTGATATTATTGAAGTATACGGCCCAGAAAATAACAAGCCTCAAACAACAAAAACATAATCAGAATGTTAAAACCACGAATACCGAACTAAACAATAGAATAAATAAAAATATATTACGTTATAACTAACAGAGATATAGATCCATAAAAAATAGTCGACGTAAAATAATCGCTTAACTCAACAGATGTAGGTAGCGATTATAGAATTATGTAAATTACAAATCATCGTGGAATACTTCACATATAAGAGAGCGGTGCCAACACAATCCAAAATCAGAGTCGAAGAACTAAATACCGCATCCACGAAATACTTATACAGAAAAAGAATAATAGAGAAGATTGGTATTAATGAAATATTAGAAAAAGGTAACATAGAGGAAAGCTGAGAAAAACTTAAAATAGTATAATTGATGCAGCAACAGAATCACTTGGTGTAATGAAAGTAATAAACACTAACATATCAAAAACCTAATTGCTACAGGTGTCAATAATGAATCACCAATACCAGCGGTGACGACAAACGAAGAAATAAATATTGAGAAGGAAGAGGTAAAGGAAGCATTAACGAATCTACAAAACAGAAAATCACCAGGAGAAGACAGAATACCGAGCGAACTACTAAAGTACGGACGACCAGATGAAACCAAACAACTACTAAATTTAATCCAAAAAATAATAGAACGAAACAGAATGTCTCAAGAATGAAGATTAAGTATCGTAAAACCTCTCTTTAAAAAGGGAAACAAATGGGAACCGAAAAATTACAGGGGAATTAATTTCTTAAAGATAATACTAAAATTAGCAACAGCAACCAAAATAATAACAAGTAAACTGAATGAAATTATAACACTAGCAGAAGAAACACAGGTTTTAGGTTGGGAAGATCATGCACCGACGCTATACTTATAATGAGGCAAGTGTAAGAGAAATCATTAGAATACGATAAACTGGCATATCATGTTTCATAGTCAAGAACTAGCGGACCCTATTGAAGCTGGTAATGGGATAAGATAGGGAGAATCTGATTATGGATAAACTTATGCTTATGGATTTATTAAAAAATAATACCAAATAGTAGAAAAACAACTTAAAATAATCTAATATGCAGACGACGCAATACAATAATTTAATATAACCGCTGGATAAGACATAGAAAAGTAGAATGGAATGGTCATATAAGCCGAATGACAACAAATAGAGTAGTAAAGACGGTAAGAGATGGTTCTCTAATAGGAAGACGATCAGTAGAAAGACTACGAAAACGATGTAACGACAACTTACTGGAGACATTAAAAAACAGACAGAGTCATGTCTACATAAAAAGAAGAAGAAGACATCGACCCTTAACTTTCTGATGATAGTTATGCTGGCTGCATGGTCGTTTTTAAATGATAATAAATCAAAAATATTTTAGTACGATTATGTTCATACTAACGCTCTCGCTCTATTTCTACTTCTATAGATACATTTCAAAAAATACTTTTCAAATAAATTCGAAATTGTAGCGATAGCGGATATACTCTTTCGACTGAAAAATATAATTAATAATTCTTCTTCTTCAAGTTCCACTCCTATCGGAGATTGGAAATCATTCTGGCAATTATAATTTTATTGGTTACTCGCCTGAATAGTTCAATTGAACTGCATCCAAACCATTCACGGAGATTGCGTAGCCACGAGATTTTACGTCTTCCTACGCTTCTTCTACCTTTGATTTTACCCTGCATTATATTCCTTAGTAGTTCGTACTTTTCACCTCTCATGATATGCCCCAAATATTCCAATTTTCTGATTTTTATGGAATTTAAAACTTCGCATTGTTTTCCTAGTTGTTCGAGAACTTGTTCGTTTGTTTTGCGATCCATCCATGATATTTTCAAAATACGTCGGTAACACCACATTTCGAATGCTTCTAGGTTTTTAATGTTGGATTTTTTAAGTGTCTAAGCTTCAACTCCATACAAAAGGGTAGAGAAAATATAACATCGAAGCATTCTTATCCGGAGCGATATATTGATATCGCGATTCCAAAAAAGTTTTCTCACTCTATTAAAAGTTGACCGCGCAATTTCAATGCGGCATCTTATTTCTTTTGTCTGATCAGTATCTTCTGTGATCCATGCTCCAAGGTATTTGTACGGAGATATTAGTTCAATTTCTGTATTATCTAGTACTAGCTTAACTTTGATGTTTTTTGCTTTTGTAAATACCATGAACTTGGTTTTCTTCAAATTAATTTTTAGTCCATAATCGTTGCAATATATATTTAGTTGTTCAGCAAGGTGTTGCAGTTCTTCTAGTGTTTCTGCCAGAAGGACGGTGTCGTCAGCATATCTTACGTTATTAAGTGGCTCACCGTTTATTATAAGGCCCTCACTGATCTCGGCAAGCGCTAATTCTGAGATGGCTTCACTGTATAAATTGAATAACAAGAGTGATAAAATACACCCTTGGCGGACACCACGGCGAATCTGGATATCCTTGGTCAGTTCGTTTTCAACTTTCACTTTTGCTGCTTGATTCCAATAGAGGTTACAGATGATTCTAATGTCTCTACTGTCTATGTTTTTATTTAATAAAATTTCTTTAAGTCGATTATGCTGCACTCTGTCAAATGCCTTCTCAAAATCAATGAAACAGACATATACTTCCTGATTAATATCTAAGCATCTCTGCGAAAGAACACTTAATGCAAACAGTGCATCTCGTGTTCACAGTCCTTTCCTAAATCCCATTTGTGTATTACTTATGCCTTCATCTAATTTCTTATGTATTCTATTGTGAATTACTTTTAAAAACAATTTCAAGACATGACTCATTAAGGCTATGGTGCGATGTTCATTGCACTCCTTTGCATTGGCTTTTTTGGGAAGCAGTATGAATGTTGATTGGAGCCATTCTTTAGGTATTATACCTGTTCTATATATGGTATTGAATAGATCCAAAAGAAGATCAATAGATTCAGTATTCACAATTTTAAGTAATTCGATAGGAACTTCATCAGGCCCGGGAGATTTACCACCTTTAGCTGGTTTCATTGCATATTCAATTTCTTCTCGTATAATGTCAGGCCCAGTATCAGCCTTAAATTCTTTTGGTGCTTCTGTTCTCTCTTTGTCTTCAAAAAGTTGTGCTATATATTGTGTCCATCTCTGCATTTTTTGGTTTATATCAGTTATAAGTGCACCCCTTTCATCTCTTAGTTGCCTAGTTTGAAGTGTTTTTCTCATTCCTGTTAATTCTCTAATTCTTTTATGCATGTTAAAAAAGTCATATTTTTTCTCAATTTCTTCTAGTTCTTGGCACTGCTCATGTAACATTCTCTCCTTAGCTTCTTTACTTCTCTTTTTTATTAATCGATCAGTTTCATTATATTTAATTGGATTTTTTGTTTTGAATGATTTTCTTTCATTCATTATAGTAGTATTTCTTCAGTCATCCAATGTTTATGTTTTCTATACTTTGGTTTTAAGTTTTCATTTGCTGTTTTAATTATTGCTACTTTTATATTTTCCCATTTCTGATCAATGTTATAGCTACTTTTATTCAGTTCTTGGGTATTACGTAGATTTTCAGTAAGAGTTTTTACAGTTTGTTCCTTTGTTTGTGGTTCCCTTAATATCTTAATATCAATTCTACTTTGTGTGGGTTTTTTAACCAGTTTTAATTTGGTTCGTAATGTGACTACTATGGGTATATATTAATAATAAAGGCATAATATATTTAATTTGTCATATCTTTTCATTTCAGGGATGAAAATATTTGTTGCCAACTCAGGGATCAAACTTCGCTCTAGTTTCTCAAGTAACTTTCTTTCGGTTCTGTTGATCGATACATTTCTTCTTTCTGGCGGTTTGTTATTAAGTATGTGCTTAGTTAGTCCATCATTTTCAATTTTTTAATTTTTTTTTCGGCATTCTTGTATTTTCTCATTGGTAGACTTCTTATCTTATTTTTATTTCTCTATCTATCAACTTTTGTAATGATTGTAACTCTCCTGTAAAGTGTTATTTTCCTATCCTGAATTCTAAAAATATCGCTTTTTGTTACGCTTTGACATCCATATAACAGCCATAAAAATTTATTAACGTTTCATGAAACTTTTTCATATTTTATTGCATAACAGAAGATTGTATTGATTTTTAGACACAAGATAACTATAAAGAAGATTGGCTGCCTTGCGACCGGTTTACAAAAGACAACTTCCTTAAATGAAAAAATGTTTAAATAAGAAATACTTCATAAACAATAAACAATCACGCTAACCCATTTTTGTTATCTATTGAAGAATATTGTAACATTCCAATATAGCGCCGGCATTTTCTACTCCTTTTATTGCATTTTATTAGAATATGCAACGTTATGGAAATAGAAGGTTTGTAAAATGAATGAATTAAATTTTAATATAAAGAAATCAAAGAACATTTAATCTTTTTGCAACACTTCTTACCAACCCACTGTTATGCCATAAAATACGAAAAAAATTGATGAAAAGATAATACTTTTACATTTTTCAACTGACTCAAAGGTCGCCAAAATTCGCAATAAACAGACATTACAAAGCAGATAATCTCGAAATAATCAACAAAACTTTAAAACTATTTTCCATTAAACATTCATCAAAAACTATTTCTACTATACTAACGATATAAAACAAGAGGATATACTTACAACATCTCCTTCATCGGCCGCACCGAAATCCAACCATAGATACCTCTTGCCGTCGTCCGAAGAATTCCTTAGCCTATCGAAGGGATACCTCCAGAGCGTCCTTGATCCCGTACCCGCCTCCAATAACGTGAAACCGTTCTCGTAGTGAATTACTAATTGGGCCGGTCGCCCTTTCCAAACACATCCTAAAATCACATTAGAATCTATTTAAGGAAAACTGTATACAGGGTATGATAGTGCTGATCAATATATTTAGTGTTTTAATAGTATACATATTAGAATAACGATGACCTCATCCTTTGCCTTTTGGAAGAGTAGAAATTATTATTAATAATTTTTGAGGAAGGTTTTATTCGCCGTAAACCTTCGTGCTATTTTAAGTACAGTTTTTTATTAGTACATTTCTTTTGTCATTACCATATTTTTTTGCTTTTATCTCTGTTGTAGATCTAGCATTTATAACTAAATATTATACTTTCATTAAATACGGACAAAAAGAAACATTACAAGAGTAAGAAGCCAATTTACTATACCAAATTGGAGAAATACAATACGATTGACATTCCAAAGCTTTTCATACTGATTTAGATACTAAGGACTTTGGGGGCGATCAAGAATCAATTGAAGGTTTCATAAACAGTATAGTGATAGTAAATATATCGATGGCTAAGAGGACAAATATTGTATGTCCATTTTTGTTATAAATCAGATACGTACAGGTCTTTGATGGTCGCGATGAAATCTTTATTGGGCTCAAATATGGTATGTCCTCATAGAATGGTTTACTAGTTACTAAAATAGCATTCAAGACATTTCCATTAAAATCAACATAAGCTTAGTGCACAAATGTTGCATATCCAATGCAATATTTGTGGCGCTCACTAAATTCAAAACGAAACGACTCTTTTATTGTATGTCCAAAGATACAATATTTGTCCATAATATTTGAGGCTCGTCAGTGTTGCACGTGTCTACGCAAAGGTAGCAATTAAGTGTGGGAGTGGTTTAAATAGCAATAATATGTGCTCAGAGGAATTTGTCTTGTCATTCTTCTGTTCCAGTCCAGTGTTGTATATCGATTTAAGCTGTTACATACGTAATTGCTAAATCGGCGTGTCGTGTTCAAAATATAAAAATAAAATAAACACCCGAAGAAATAGTTCAGATGGCAAAAAATAGTAAGCAGTTTGATTATGAATATTTTTTATTGAATAAATTATAGTGACAAATGTTAGAAACCATAGCATGAATTTGGTTACAGATTCAAAATATGAGAATCAAGACGACGTCTGTTTAGATACAGTGGCAGGGCCTTGCCATAAAAGACGATTATCAGAGTGTAGTGTTCGACGAGCTGTTTGCCACAGTGCCGGGGCCTTCCCATAGAAGAGAATTAGCAGAATGTAGTGTCGACGAGCTTTTTGCCGACTCCGAAAGTGAATACCTCCCATCTGACCAAAATACTGGTAGTTTAGTTTCGTCAACACATGATACAGAAAATCGTCAAATACTTTCTCATATAGTTTACAGCATAGACAGTCTAGCACAAATAGAAAGAAAATGCAGGCTAATAGCCAATCCAGAATTATGAAAAAAAAAAAAACAAAAATAAGATTGTTACGAGTGACTGGCAAAGAATATGTAAACAGAAAAGGGGTAACAGTAAGGGCTAAGTCACCACGTATTATTTATTGCGACAACTTTAGATTTAAATGTGGCATTAACATAATATCATGTGAATGACAAATAATCATTTGCCAAGAATATTGGAATCTTACTGATTCAACAAAGCAAACAATTTTTATTGGTTTTTTACCCAAAGAAAAAAAAATTGGTAGAGAAGGAAATCACAATGAGAGAAAAAAAACAGGAAAACGTAGTCATTATTATTATTTACTGACTGGCTCTAATGAGCGTGTAAGAGTGTGTCAAAAATATTTTTGTACTACATTTGCATTTAGCTTTTAAGTAGTTGTAACTGCACTAAAGTATCGTGGAGACAGTGGTGTTTATGTCGGCTTTGACCATCGCAAAAAAAGACCAGCTCCGAATGCAACATCCGCTAAGCAAGTTTATTATAGTAAGACTCGTATTGAGATGTTTCCTTGAATGGCATCCCATTATTGTCGTCGTGATTAGTGGCGCACCCAGCACCTCTATTTCTGTTAGCTTGTATTCGAGGTCTCCATTCCAAAATTCTGTTTGTCCACCGGTCATCTTGCTACATGACCTGCCCAGTTCCACTTTAGTGTTGTTATCCTTTCAATACGATACGGTTGGCGATAGCCGTTTCCAAAATGTATTGTATTTACAAGTCTGATTAATTTCAAACGTCAGTAAACTTAGTTAAACCTTCAATTGCGGCCTATTTTTATAAAAATAGTAATTAGATCTTATATCTGTCGTTGGCCCGGTTGGTGTTTCTCGTCGTATTCTTTCTTGTTGATGTCTGATAGGATGTAATTGTGAACACTATTTCATCCCTCCGTACTTCCCGTCATCTTCACGATCAACTTTCTTCCAGTCACAGGGTTCATACCTATTTCTTTATACATTCTGTTTCTCTATGCTGTACATCTATTACACTCCAGCATTGTGTGAGTAACAATGTCGGACTATTCGCAGTATAGGCATTTTTTGTATCTGCCTTTCTAAACCTATGAAGATACGCCCTAAAACAGACAATCTACCCAGTCCCTTCCCTTCCATCTTTCTTATCGTTCCACTCTTCTTGCCCACTTTCTATTCATCTTTTCCTTTCTTCTTTTTTTTTATAGCTGTTGTCAAATACAATTGGCGGTCATCTCATAGAGACCCCCAAAACCCCCACCTGGGTGCGCCACATAACGTGATACGATGAGGCATTATCTGTCAAGTAAGTGAAATATCAGTGTGATTTATCGTTTACACACTGCAGTGACTATTGCCCTAAAAATAATGTACCACCTGTTAAGTACAATGTATTTAGAGATCAGTATTGAATGGTTATGATCCACCTTTGTCATTTTATAAACCGAGAAAAGATCAATGTGTAATATATCACGTTTATAATAGTGCTACAGATATAACAGAATTACGAAGTCAGTGGAAGGCATACAAAGCAAAAGAAAAAAGTGGAATGGAAATGAAACTAGCCGACAAACAGAAAGTTGTCGACAATAAAGGTAAAACATTTCAAGCAATTACAGATTATTCTTAATTATTCAACAGACGTAAACGTTACGTCTAAAATTTCACAATTTTTGACGCTTGAAATGCAGAAGGTTATTCATATTTATGGGACGAGACACAAGCCAACAAAGAATCAGTTGAAATTGAAAGTTGTTTGCTGAAATATTTGTAATCTTTACCCAATACTGTTACATATGTTTCCTTATCTTTAGATACTTGTGGTGGACAAAACCGCAACAAGAATGTTACTGCTGCGATGATGTATGCTGTTGCTAAAAAACATAACTTTCAAATAATATATCTAAAATATTTAGAACCAGGACATACACATTTCGAAGTGGACTCAATGCACGCTACCACAGAACGTGCTCAAAACAATAGGAACGTGTACTCCCCCCGCGAATGGGGTATTTTAATAAAAATGTCAAGGCTAAAACCTTGTCTCTACATTGTTAACCATCTCACATACTCCGATTTTTATAATTTAAAGCAGTTAGCTTCTAAGATAAGTAAATACTACCTGTAAATAATACCTGTGACACCAACAGAAATCAAGTGTAATGACGCCGGTCTGAATCCGCTTTGGTAGTCGCCTATTATTTCCTCTGCGTATGGAGTTAGCCTTCTAGACAGTATTATGATTTTGTACATTGTATTGATTAACGATATGCCTCTATAGTTCCGACATATTTGTTTGTCTCCATTCTTGTGGATAGGTAGTATACAGCTTTCATGACAGTGTTTCGGTATTTCTTCTCTTTCCCAAACTTCTCTTATAAGATAATATATCTCAAGGTGGAGCTTTTCTCCCCCTTATTTTAGTAGTTTCGCCTGTATGTTGTCTTGGCCTGGGGCTTTATGGTTTTTTAGGGACGAAATTGCGGTCTTTACTTTAGCTAGTGTGTGCCCTGGTATTTCCGGTTCGGCTAACTAGTACTGTCTTTGTTGCCCTGTCGTTGTGGGTTTTTCTGCATTTAAGAGTTGCTCAAAATACTTTCTCCATTGGCGGCTTATCTCCTCGTCGTCTGTATTTTTAGGCGGTTTATATTAATTATTACGTTGCTGGCCTAACGACTTAACCTCTTGATCTGAGTGACAGTGATTTTTCTGTCGGGGTGATCTATTCTACGAAATTAGCCGTTTAAGGTTTTATTATCCGCCTTCATCACCGTTGTAGTCTTCGTCCCTTCCGTGGATAAGGAGTTCTTACAGGGTGTTATCAGTCAGGGCAGCTGAACCAGCTATTATTACTTTTTAATGCCCCGATTTCAAACAAATATTCCTAATAGTCAACTCTTGTCTAACTGTTGCTTCGACCGACTGTTTCCGTAGTTCCAATTGTTACTCTTATTACCTTTTAATATGTTCTACTAACAACATTATATTGGCATATATTAAACATCAAAAATACTTTTATTATTCAAATACAAATAGTTTCTTTAGTAATTTATTAGCTAATTATAAGAGCAAACCTGCATTATTCATAGGAAACAACTAACTAAAATAATACAGAAAAGAAGTTACAACATTTTGTAATATACAAAAAATAGCGCACTAGAATTAGAATATTACCATTTAAAAGGTGAACTCAAGGGCAAGAAAAGTTACAAAATAGTTAATCGACTTTATATCACCTGAAACTAATAATAAATTGCAACTAAGAATAAACTACAACGTATCTCTGCTTAAATTCAAACAAGGATTTAGGTAGGCAGGGTAAGTGCTCGGTACTTTTTTGCAATATTTTATAATTAAAACCATATTAAACAACTCAAATTCCAACCTCACTTTCACTGTGATGATAGATGAAACTGACAGGTAAGAAATGATAGACAAGTGTTAACTCGGAATACTCTGCTGGATATCAAAGGTGTAACCTAATTACAAGGGATATCGGAAATGGAATATAATTTTTGTTTAGTTTAAAATGAAGGTAATATCTAAAACGTTTCAAGTTAGTAAAACAAAGAGTTTTAAAACAACATTTTACAATATAGACTATTACCAAAAATAT